GTTCGCGCTCGCGTACGACGTAGAGGAACAAGAACAGGTCAACCCGGCGAGCGTCGTGGACGCCATGCAGCTAGAGGTGGGTGAGCTCATGGTGTGGCTCGACTGGACGCAGGTGTGGGTCAAGTGTCGGCCCGCGTGTGCAACTGAGGTGCGATTCCATCTTCGAGGCCGCGCTATTGACACTCATCGCGTCATGCATACAGGAGCTATGCATAGCTGGTCGTACCGGTCGTCCTGGCCGCGGCGGTGAACGAGGGGACCGGAGGAAGCCGCAGTGCATTCGCAGGCCCAACGCATAGAGTCGGAGACCCGGCTGTATCCGTCCCAATCTGCGACCACGATATTTATTTATTGCTTATCAAACTCAGTCTAAACACAAATCCCCAACCAGGCGCTCAATTTCTTTGGATTGTTCGTCCGTCCCATCAGTGTTTGGCTCATTTTCTATGAATGGAGCGCTCTAGGAGCCTTAAGCACTACCCCAGAATTATAACTGATCGAAGAAGGGTCTCTCGAAGAACGCCAGTGGGATACTCCGGTTTCAGTTCTCGGCCTACAAAACACGCCCAGAGTTACAGTTCTACAAACCTGCCGACGTATTGAACTGAATGCCTTCGATCTGGCCCGCGCCAACAGTCTCGGTCATGGAAACCGAAGCAGTGAGTTTCGTTGAACTATCTTTGAGATTTATCAAACATCGGTCTGGCTGGCTCTGCCGAGCTGTCTGAAGCTGTGTAGCTCAGTGTAGGTCTGCCGGATTATGTATATTCAGGTTCCTGAACGATGGGAGACCGCGGAGACCAAATTTTGTGGGGGGTCTGAAACAAGGGCCAGCCGTAATTCTACTGATGCTCGAGTGGCTACACTTGGACTACACCGAGTCCCGACTGACTGCGAATGCATTACCTAGATGATGGTCAATTCAGTCGTACACGGTGGTGCCTGCCCGATCAGCAGATATCACGAAAGCTGAACTGGGCGTTTCTGGGAGCGCGGTTAAGATACACGAGAATCTGGGCCATTCACGCTATATAAACTGTGCCATTCGTGCTGCAGACCTTATCGCCCAGCTCGCAAAGCATCAGCGTTTAAAAAATGTTCTCCATCGTCTCTGTCCTCGCCTCTCTCGTCCTCGCCCGTGTGGCAATTGCCAACCCTGTCGCCCGGGCTGCGTGTAACCCCGCTCTGAATGGTGTTGGCTTTTCCATTGCCAACGGAAACCTCGAGCTCGGATACGCCAGTTCCATCGCCGGCGCTCCGATCATCTCGCAGGCACTTTCAGCCAATGCTGCTGAATTCATCGGCGAGGCTGCTACGATAAGCAACGGCGGCTTCGTATCGAAGTCATTCCGTGCTCTTTACTTACCCCAAAATTTCTGACGATGTAAATTACAGGGACGCCAACCAGGACAATCATGCCATCGGCCTCTTCCCGACCTGGATTGACGGAGCGATTGAGCTTCAGCCTCTTGTGACTCCAGAGGACGGGTAAGCACCTGCCATAGAAATATGTACACCAAACTGACGACTCGTGGAATAAAAGAAAGCAGGGTTGGGGATTCATCTGCTCCACGTGTAACGACCCGGCGACTGTGGGCGAAGGAGGCGTCATAGCATCGTCCTGTGCGGTCGTCTGCAGCTGGACCGGACAGTGCCTGCAGATTGGCAGCGATATAGGTGCTGCAGTGACCATTCTCAACTGCGACGATCGCGGCTCTGGCGCCCAATACTTTGATATCTTCAAGGCTTGAATAAACGGTGCGGCGCGCACCGAAGGGTCGAAATTATATGCAGAACTTCTAACTTCTCTTTCATTCCATGTTGATACTAGATAGCTAGTTGATATTTACATCAATGCAGAAAGCTGATTCGAGTTTGTGCCTGCTTGTTTGGCTGACACGTGATGACGTAGTTGCAAGCGAAAAAGGAAATAAATCGAGAGTGAAACCAAATTTAAGCATTGGTCGCATGCGCTCGACCGATAGACAACAACGAGGGCGATGAGCGGTTCCGACCGAGTCGGGCGTCGCCGAAAGGGGGAGGAAGGGGAAGAATACGCGCTCCCGCAGCTATTTGCACAATATACAGGAAGTACACACCAAACGTTTGAACCTTGAGTACTTGAGCAGGGTTGAGAAGGACATCTTCAATTTTGAACCTGCGCCTGCGAGAGGAAATCAAGTGGCGGAAAAACAAATCAATTCACGCCACCTCCAAAGCAGCACCTCGAGCCAACACCTCCCTGATCCTCTCCGACGCACTAATGTACCGTTCAGGCGCGTCCTCGACCTTTCGACGCTTCGCAGGTGGGCCCCCACTCATCTCCACGTCTCCATCTCCGTCAGGCTCCTTCTCCGCTCTTGAATCGGGCTCTGCAGACTGCGCGCGCACATCATCGCTGCCCATCGAGTCGTCCGTCTCCCCCTCCACCATCCTATTCCCATTCCCATTGCTCTTCCCGTTCCCATTCACCACAGGCTTCTCAGCGTCCGGCTCCGGCTTGGCCTTCACAACCGCAAGCTCCGGGCGGTACTTCCTCGCCAAGAAATGCAAGTACTCGAGCCGATGCCGCGGCGGCGGCGCGCGCGCGACATGCATCGGCGGGCCCGGGAACCAGAGCACCTCCCCCGTCGCCGCGTCGCGCTCAAAGCGCCGCGCCGTCTCGGGCGCGAGCTTCTCCGTCGCAGAGACGGCCATGCCGCCCGCGCTCACGACCGACCGGTCCACGAGCACGCGCTGCTGCGGGGTGGGCTGCGTGCCCAGTCGCACGGGGCGCTCGAAGAGGTCGAGCGAGGCGTCGATGGGGGAGGAGCCGCTGCCGTGGTCGTTCAGCCACTCCGCGCGCGGGATACGGCGCACGGCCGTGCGCGCGGCGTCGTACCGGCGCCCGCACACGTACAGGGGCCAGCCGGGATACCATGCTGGGGCGCGGGGGCGTCCGCGTGCGGCGAGCGAAGTGTGTTGGCAGCCGACGCGCTCAATGACGTCCGGGAGGAAGTGGTGCGTCGTTTTGTCTGTGTGCAGGGTTAGCGTGGGTATAGTAGACAGATGTATCGCGGGGGATGTACGTACCAGTCTGTACGATCTCACCCTCAATGGGCCCGTGCGCCGGAGGCATGAGGTGTGATATCTGTAATAAAACGAGTCAGCAGTGGTCCGTAGATATAGAAGGGAGAAGCAGACCTCGTCCGCGCGCAGGTACCACCGCACAGTCACGCCTCCCTCGCCCGCATCGTCTCGCCAGCACCCAACGACGCGTCCAATCAACGGCCGCCCCGAGTGCCCCAGACCCATGCCGAGGTTCTCGCCATCCGCCTCGGCACCTGAGATGACATGCACATAGTCGCCCGCCCGCAAGACAAAGCCCTTGTGCGGCACGCTCTCGAGAGCGTTCGCGCGCGCGACGCGCGGCGGCGACGGGAGAGCGAGCGGTTGGGTAAGCGGCAGCGGCGGGGCGTTTGTCGAAGTGAATGCGTGCGCGATGCGCTAGATAGGTCGGCAGGTCAGCAGAAGGTAGGGCGCAAAGTTTAAAAATGCACCTGTAGAGTGACGACGCGTCCCCACTCCTCCCCGCCGACGCCCGCGACGCCGCTGCCACGCTGGAGGTAGTACCGCCGGCCGCTTTCGAACATGCGCGCGACGTCCGAGTCGAAGGGGCGGGAGGAGGTGTAGAAGGTTTTGCTCCGTGAGCGGCTCTGCATTACATCAGCCCGCGCTACGGCGAACAAAATGCACGCACCTCAAGGAGCCGGAACGAGATGGCAAGCTACTTGGATGTCAGAAGAGCGTCGGGGTGAGTGGCCGAACAAGGCACCTTGTCCTCGGGGACACCATCCAGCGCCGTCGAAAGTTTGACGTTGCTGCCTGTGTGTGAGCAAGAGTGATTTGCTGCAGGAAAGTGCACGCACGCGTCATCGCGGTAGGCCTTTATCGCCTGGACGATCTCGAGGTGCCGCTCGTGCTTGACGTCAGCCATCCAGCCGCCGTCTGTGCCCAACAGCGGCGTATAGCGCGGCAGCCCGCGCTCTAGCTGGCGCACGATTTGTATGTCGGTGGGCGCGTTCAGCGGAGGATCGTACATGTCGTCTTCGTCCTCTGACTCTGACTCTGACTCGGAGTACTCTGGTGCGGGCGGGTCAATAGGGGTAATGGGCGTCGGTTTGGAGTAAACAAAGGTTGGCTGGGGCACGATCGGTGTGGGGGCGGCAATGGGCGGACTAGGTTTGACAGCAGGGGCGGGTTGAGTGGAAGGGGGCTTTTTCTTGGTTTCCGGAGGCTCATGCACTTTCTGCGCGGATGAAGGGGGCGGGGATTCACGGGGTATCGGAAGAGCCTTGGATTTCCATTCAGACTCAAGGAGGTTCTATGGTGCATGAGCTTTGATTCGAGTATATACAACGCGCAACGGCGCACCTTCAAGGTCTTCGCGTCCATCGCAATTTGGCTGTCTGGTTCATTGTAGAACAACGCGTTCAAGAAAACCAAGGAGAGATCCGTGTACGCGTCCAGAGGGTCTTTGTATCGGTTCTTCTCAAGCATAGTTTGGATATTGCTCAGACAGCGCGGCTCAGGGATAACTTCGTAGTACTCTGGCCAGTCGTCGCGGTCCACAAGTTCCAGAAACATCCCCGCGAGCTGCCGTTTACGCGGGGAACCGGTGGCCGCAAGCAAGGCGGCAAGGACCTCCTCGATAGCCTTCTTTTGCGCGCCCGTGACGCCCATGGCAGGGTGGAAGCAAGTCTATCAAGCAAGTTGCGTCTGTCTAGAGACTCAGTAGGAGCAAGCAAAAGGACGAGAGGAAGTATGGCAACTTGCCGACGGTGTCACGCTGCCCAATGCAGAATCCGGAACCTTTGTGACAGTCACGGGTCACAAACTCTCCGCTTTGTCTTGCCTCCCAAATTCCTCACCAACGCCGTATCCTAAAATCGCCAAAATATTAGGGGGGATAGAGAGGAAGTAGCGGAACATTCCTGGGTACATAAAATAGCAAAAGGTTTGGGTCTGACCGGGAATTGAACCCGGGACCTCCTCGATTACGTAATCACTGCGTGATTGCCCTAACAAGGAATCATACTACTAGACCATCAGACCGATGGAAGGAAGGAAGGCAAACTATATGAATACGTCCAGCTGTAAACAGCTCACCGTCCCCAAGTAACTTAGGCGCTGGGAATCTGCGCTCAATTTCAACGATCACGGCCGCCGAGTCTCGCGACAAGCCTTTGACAAGCCTTCTTCTTTTCACACCGCTACTACGGTCAAACTTCACATATACTGAACGCTACAAGGCCGCAGGACCGTCGCTGGCAAACCGATTCAACCCGGCTGGCACCACACTGGCACGAACTTCCGCAAGTTCCAGCAACTTCAAGAAGTTGAACAATCTCTTTCAATATTATTGGTCTTAAGAGGTTTTGGGGCTTATTGTTGGCTGGCCCCAAGATGCTCCGCCCCTCGGCCGATCGCTCCGACGCCTTATAATTCCCGTGTAAGCTCTGCAATCCAGGAGACTTTCCGCCCACAACATGAAAGCCGCCTCGACATACCTCCGTGAACTTCTGGCCCGGGACGAGATTCTCGTGCTCCCGGGAGTGTACGATGGAATCTCCGCACGTATTGCGCTTAGTGAGGGATTTGACGCGCTTTACATGACAGGTGCGTCCCCCAGACTCGGGTGTCTAATCTTTCAAGAGCTGATCAATTTCGATACGGAACAGGCGCTGGCACGTCCGCGTCCGTGCTCGGGCAGCCCGACCTCGGGGTGCGTGCGTCCTATCCACTGACAGCTGAATAATAACCTTGGTAATTTAAAACTGAAGATTGTGACGCTGAACGATATGGTCAGCAATGCGGGGATGATCGCGGGGCTCAACCCGCGTGTGCCCGTCATTGCCGACGCGGACACGGGTTTTGGCGGCGCCGCCATGTGCGCTCGCACGACGACCCTGTATGCCCGCGCTGGTGTGGCGGGATTCCACATTGAGGATCAGGTTCAACAAAAGGTAGGCCCGCCACATCATTTCCATTGCTTCCACTTTTCGAATAATTTATTTCTGCCCAGCGCTGCGGACATCTCGCCAGCAAGCAGCTTGTCCCGCTCGAGGAATACCTCGTGCGCATCCGCGCAGCAGCCAACGCGCGCACGGCACTCGGCTCTGACATCGTTCTCATCACACGCTCGGACGCCTTGCAGGGCCTCGGCGTCGGCGAGGCGATTGCGCGTTGCAAGGCCGCTGTGGCCGCCGGCGCAGACGTCGCATTCGTCGAGGGCCTGCGCACACGCGAGGATGCGGAGCAGACGGTGCGCGAGCTCGCCCCTGCGCCGGTGCTTCTGAACCTCGCGACGGGCGGAGTGACCCCGAACTGGACCGTGGCGGAGGCGCGCGACATGGGTTTCAAGCTGGTGATCTTCCCGTGCGCGGGGATGATCCCGGCGGCATTGGCGGTGCGCACGGCGTACCGCGAGATCCGCGCGCAAGGGACGGATGTGGTGAGCTGCGCGGGCGTCGGACCCAAGGCGTTCTTCGAGATGGTCGGTTTGGACGAGGTACGTTCCTCGCTATTTTTGTTTTTTTTCCGTTCTTAAATTATCGACGCGTAGGTCGTTGCTATCGACGCGCAGGCTGGAGGGAATTTCACGATGGGGGCCAAATAGAGCCAGGTAGACCTATCCATTTCCTTGCCCTTGCCTTCCGACATTCGACCGCCGGTTAACAACTATCAGAATCACATGTCAACGCGTTTCTTGAATTCCACTTCACGTTACTTACGCGTACAGTCGCGTTAATGTTCTCTTATCTCTCCACCTCGCGAACAACGCGTGTATCTTTGCACAAATTCTGCTCGAAAGTTACATACAAGAACAAGAGTCTCCTCCACTCTTAGGTGTCGATAAGCGAGCGCTCTTCCGGCCACCAACATCTACTGATCTATCCCCGCCTGTACATGATGTCTGCTTGCCTCTTCCGAGTGACACCGATCGTGCGGTGCACACGACCTTCTTCGAGGCGGCGCGGAACGGGATTCGTGCCTGCGATCAGGAATCATCGGCCCAAGCGCGTAAATGGGAGATCCACGGTCAAAGCGATATATCTTGGAGTTCAAGTTGAGGCGGAATTTGTGGAGAGGTCCACGAGACATTTCATGGAAGAGACATTTAATACTTGGTTCCGCAACGGCTACAACATCGATGGCACATGTATTTTATCGATATTACCACGCAGACGAGGAGATTTTCCAAGGAGCCTCGGAGCGAGCCACGCGTGTCCCGAGCCGTCATGAGTCTGTTTTGCGATGAGGACGATGAGGACGATCGCAGTGCAACTATGGGAGAGTATTTGCTTCCGCGGGGCTTTCGAAGCTCCAGATCGTTCAAGGCCGCGTCAGTCCCAGAGTCATACTGCGTCACCCGCAGATGAATAATGAAAGCCGTGTTGCGCAGTCGTGCACCCACGCTGCCCGTGCATGCAATACAATTACGGTGGGGTTGTGGTGAGTAGTAAGCTCTATCCATGGCTCAGGAATGGCCTCAGTCATAGTTCCAGTAGTTTCCACAGACAGAGAGATGAAAGGCTGGATGAATCACTTGCAGTCAGAATACCGCCGCCGGCGGTGTTGCGCTGGCAAGGGATGAACGGTGAGACACCTTGGGTTGAGGGCACACGCCATCATTTTCGGTGTGATCGGCTAGCGGGTACAGCGTGGCACGAGGCTCCCAAATCATATTGTACGCCCTGGGATATATTTTGTGGGGGGTCGAGATACGGGATGTTCGGGCTCGGCGGCGGGGGGGACAGGCTGAGAAGGGCTTCCAAGCACGCAAGGCTCGCCGGTGTTTGTAATCGAGCCAAATTTGCAGTGGTTGCCTTTTTGGGCGTTCCGTCCATTGCTATTTATTCCATCACCCGAGTCAAATCTAGCCGAGTTTTTACCCTACGCCCTCCTTTTCTCTCTTTCTTTTTCGCGCGACGCCTGAGGGCTTTCAGGCTGGTCTATGCTAACCCTCAATCCAGGCTCGTCGTGCGACGTGTGCGCGGAGGAGTACGGTCCTCTCTGTCTCCCCCATTCAATTCCCTGTGGTGCGCGAGATTCACCCCTGTTTTTCCGTGTTTTTCACCGTTTTTTCGCCAGGACATGTTCTCTGTTCCAGCTGCTGCACAACCATTGCTGAGAAGACCTCCTCGCGACTCTCTCCAGCCTGTCCTTTCTGCCGGGAAAATTTTACTAGCGACTCTGTCCGTTTAATTCGCATGGACTTTAATACCAGCGGGTGGAGCACGCCACGACGTCTCCCCAACATCGAGGCTAATGTTCCGGACTTCACCAGCGATGCCTGGTCAAAACGGCTCATGCTGGCTGACGGATGCTCTAGATCCCGGCTGGATGCACGCAGGCTGGAGGCAAAAGTCGCCAAGGTCGCTGCCAAAAAATGCTCGGTCGAGGAGGTTACCACCCTGCACAAGGAGCTGCAGGAGTGGCTCACAGCCGACACCAAGCCCGATGACGATGTGAGTTTTCTTTCTTTCTTACGGACGTTCCTCGTCGCCCAGGTCTCGAGCTTACAAAGACTGTCACAGACATCGTCCTTGGCCCTTAGCGCTGCTCTGCTGCGCGCCATTCTCATGAACCACTTGGCTCATTCAGAGTCCAGCCGATTGGCAAAAAATGTCGAAACGACGTTAAAAACGAAAATTGACGACCTTGAAATCACGACCGGCAAACTTGACGCTGAATTGAGACGGTAAGCATGCCCATTTTTTTCCTTGACTTTTCTGACTCGTTTTTCTTTCCCCTTTAGACAAGTGAGTCATTTTTTTTATTCTCGTCTGGTTCCAGTCTGACCCTTCCCCAGCGACATGCTTATTCACAAAAGGCCCAAGAGTGCCAAAGCCTCCGCCAGGAGCTAAGCCGCCTCAAGGTTGTTTCGACAACCCTCGTGGCTCCCCCTCCACCCCCACCAACGGAGTCGCGGCATCGCTCGCCTTCTCCACCACCACTTCCTTCCGGCTACAACTCCCCGCCATTGGCACGCTTCAACTCGACGCACATGCGCTCCGCGTCCATGTTCGCATCCTCTCAGGGTATTTCCCGCTCGCAGACACCTGGCCCGATGTCATCCACGCGCTCGCAAACGCCCGCACCCGCACGGTCGCAAACCCCCGGCCCCACGCGCTCGAACAGCATTGCCTCCCGAGCTCTCTCCCCGACGCGCGCCCAGACCCCCGCGCCGCCGCCCCGCTCCAACACCCTCACCCCCACGCCCACCCGGCACCTCTCCGCCGCGTCCGCGCCTCTCCGCTCGCGCACACCAGCTCCACCCCAGGCAGCCCCCCGCCCGCGGACGCTCTCCCACCCTTCGCCTCCGAAACTGGCGCACCGCACGCTTTCGGAGGAGAAGCACGATGCGCAGGCGCAGCACCAGCGCTGGCTCCCGCAGCGTGAGATGCCAAGCAAGTACACCGCTCGCTCGCCGTCGCGCACGTCGCAGAACCCATACGGCTACCGCGTCTACGAGGAGGAGGACTAAGGTCTTCCTCCCTCTGGCACACCGGTCTCCGGCCAAACCCTCCCAAAGGACGATTGACATTCAACTGCTCTTTCACGCATCATGGCACTAATGCCTCCGCACGTACATATATTATAGCCACTATTCTCTGCGCCACCTCATTTCCTCGCCTTTTCTCCCTTTGCTCTTTGCTCTCTTTGTTGCGCGCGCACACCGCACCTTAGTCGGTCCCTGTGCCCACTGTTTTCACTTGTACATACTACTCTACGTACCTTTCGTTTTCGCCTTAACATCTTTGCTACCGTTTTCGTTTGTCCTGTCCCTCATCCCCTTGGATATCTTATCCTTGTAGCCCAGACTTTCGATACCACGCCCGTACATACATACCATCTACCTACCAGCATTTTACTCTTTCTATCTTTATCGAGACCTGCTTCTCGTTCACTTCGCACTACCTACATACATACATACTCTTGTTTGTGTTCCCTCGGACGCTCCCCGCTGTAGCATCTACCCCCTAGACAACATACATTTTCGTTTCTTCTTGCATATACACACAAATTAACATACAACAGCGTATAATGAA